ACCCTAAACCCTAAACCCTCCGACCACCTGGCCTGAACGACTTACCGCAGGATCACCACCTGGTCGAAGGGAGCGTTTCTAGGCTTGTAACATGGCTCCCAGAAACTCTAATATTGCTTAATCAAGGAAGATGCCTTGGGGTTTAGGGTTTAGGGTATAGAGTACCCAGAAACTCCAATATTCCTTAGTTAAGGTAGATGCCTTAAATTATAGTAGGATCCTTGATATGATTTAAGGTATATTCCTTAAATTATAGTAGGATCCTTAATATGATTTAAGGTATATTCCTGAATTAAGGGATATTGGAGTCTCTGGGCTGTCGGCTGTTTCGCATCGCTACTATCCCCCCATCCCTGCGCATGAAATAGGCCATGGAGGAACCGTGGCACCGTGGCGTCTCTGATGCATCCAAGACATTCCCCGATACGTCCACGCATGCACTCCCCTGACCAATCCTCTCCCAGTCAAGCGGCATATTCCGGGTAAACGCTTGCGATGGCATCCAGTGGAATGAAGATCTCCATGCGACAGGTCTCATCGCCTCAGCGGAGCCGACGCTTGGTGTTCCCAGAGACTCCAATATTCCTTAATTAAGGAATATTCTTAAATTGTAGTAGGATCCTTAATATGATTTAAGGTATATTCCTTAATTAAGGGATATTGGAGTCTCTGGGTTCTTACAGAGGGGCAGAATCAGACTGTGCCACTGCAACTCCGCAAGCTGGCCCAACCGCCCCGAGCATGGTGTCATGTATACGTACATACATGCATACGCTGGGTATGGGAGGCGAGTCAGCCGCACGAGTCGAGAACAAACAAGTCGCGAACGGAGAGTGAGCAGCAGTCAAGAAGAGTTGGGAGCAAACTTCTGCACAGTCAGGAACAAAACAAGGGCCGATATCGGGATCAAAAAAAAATCTTAACGCCGGAGCGAGGCTTTAAAGTTTAAGTGCCAAGCTCGAAGGCCCGAGCCGGAGGTTTCACAATTTACAGCTTGTTAAAAACAACGTTTAGGGTTTAGGGTTTAGAAGCAATTACGTTCTCATCCCCAAGATGTCTATGATCCCCATCATCGCCGTCATTTCTATTCTGCCGATCATCCTCGTCAAATCCCTATCATCCCCATCATCGCTCTCATTCCCACGATCCCTATCATTCTCATCATCCTCGTGATCCCCATCATCCCTATCATCCTCATCGTCCCTGTCGTCTTCATCATCCCGGTCACTTTCATCATCCCCACCATGCCCGTCATCTTCATCACCCCCGTCATCCCCATCATCTCTGTCATCCCTCTCCTCCCCATCATCCTCATCATCCCGGTCATCCCCATCCTCCCTATCCTCCCCATCATCGCTGTCATCCCCATCATCCTTGTCATCCCTATCATCCCCTTGATCTCTATCATCCTCATCCCAATGATCCCCATTATCCCTATCATACCCGCCATCCCCATTATCCTCGTCAGCCCCATCACCCCTTCATTCCCGTCATCTTCATCATCTCGGTCACCCCCATCATCCCCGGCATCCCTCCCATCGGCATCATCTCCATGACATCCAACATCTCCATAATCCCCGTCACCCCTATCATCCCCCGCATCCCCGTCATCTCTATCATCCCGATCATCCTCCTCCTCTTCCCCGTCGTCTCTATCATCCCCGTCACCCCCTATCATCCCCATCATCCGTCCGCCGGGATTCGGGGGCAAGAAAGCAGGCTCCTGGGGTTAGAAAAATAGGTGGTGGCACAGAACAACAAGTGCTGGCTGCGGAGGGGGACGGGGCAGAAAAAATAGGCTCCGCGGGGGTCAAGACAATAGGCCGGGGTCTCAAAAACAATGCGCTGAGGTTGCAGTCAACTAGGCTAGACCTGTTCCTGCTGATTTGGCCATGATTCTGAACATTGCTAGGGTGCTTCTTCCGAAGTGTTCTGCTTGAACCGGCTGCGGACTGCTCTTCCTGACTCGGGGCTCTGCTGTAACAAATGAGCATTTGTGTGTATATATATGTATACGCACACATAGGACATAGGTAATCTTAGATAGACAGACTGATTGATTGATAGATAGATAGATAAATAGATAGATAGATAAATAGATAGATGAATGAATAGATAGATGGGTAGACAGATAGACAGATAGATAGATAGATAGATAGATAGATCGATCGATAGATCGACAGATCGATAGATCGACAGATCGATAGATCGATAAATCGATCGATTTGAGTTTTCTGCATGTAGATGTATGGGGCTCGAAAAAATCGCCTTGCGCTTTCTGCGCGCCCCCCCCCCCCTTTTTTTAAACATTCCCACCTTGAAGCCCTGATAATCCTTCTTGCACTACTTTATCGCCCTTGCGCTTGCGCCATGCCGGTTTTGGAGCAGGTCCTAAACCTGCATCAAAATTTTGAAGTGCAGTGTTAAGCTAAGGTCAAGAGGCGGGGGTTTAGGGTTTAGGGTTTAGAGGAACAACTCACATATGTGGCAGGTATATAATAGTCGACCCCTCCCCAGAGAACCCAATACCCCCTAAACCCTAAACCCTAAACCCTTTTTGAGTCGGGGGCCAAGGAGGCCCTAAACCCTAAACCCTAAACCCTTTTTGAGTCGGGGGCCAAGGAGGAGGCTTCCGAAGCGGCCGCTTTCCCAGTCGCGCTGGAGCCGCGGGCCGCCACGGCGGCCGCTGTGTCGCAATGGCCTGCTCCCAGAGAGCCCAATACCCCTTAATTAAGGAAGATACCTTGGGGTCTAGGGTTTAGGGTTTAGGGTCCTATGAATTACGGTATACCCCTTAATTAAGGAATAGACCTTAAATTATAGGGGCCTTAGTATTATGATTTAAGGTATATTCCCTAATTAAGGGGTATTGGGCTCTCTGGCTTGAGCACAACTGGGTTGCGGTTTGAGAGCCCTGAATAGTATTTATGAATAGGTACCTCTCGAAATGTTAAAGTTTCCCAAATTGCCACCCTGGATAACGAATGTAGGAACCTACGCAACGGAACAATAAGGCACGAACTCCCACACCCTGGCCCCGAATTCCTCGGTGCTTTGAAGCGCCCTACCCTAACCCCTAAACCCTAAACCCTAAACCCTAAACCCTAAACCCTAAACCCTAAACCCTAAACCCTAAACCCTAAACCCTGCCTGCCAACCAGCACGCGGCAAACCAAGACCGCCCAAGGGCTCGCGAGGCCGTCCTCAGAGGCAGGTTTGACGAAATGTCGGGCAGAGTGCACGGGTTTAGGGTTTAGGGTTTAGAGTTTAGGGTTTAGGGTTTAGGATTTAGAGATCGCAGGACTGAGGGTTTTGTGTCCCCGGACGGTGCAAGCCCGATTTCCTGAGACGCGAATACGGACCTGTAAAGTTCGTGAAGCAGCGAGTTGTGACAGGCTTCCCATTGAGACATGCTTTCTTTGGCAGGGGCGTGCATGAACAGAAGAACTCTTTCCATGTGGGGGTTTCCGAAAATAGGGGACACTAATGTAGCACCCTAAACAGTAGGATCCTTCTTATAAGGACCCCAAAATAAGGTACCCCTAATTTTCGGAAACTCCCATGTACTGACGTCTGTGCGGCGCAAGTGTCGCGGCTGTACCCAGCATCTGCTGCCTGCTCATGTGCGATGAAGCCTCACAGGGGGCTGACTGCCAGCCTGACAGGTCAAAACCAGAGGCCCCGGGCATCCCGCCTTGGTAGCAGAAGTGGATGCCGCCACCCAGGGATTGCTGTAGTTGGTGCCGCGAGCACTCGTGGCTGGCCACTACCTCCCAGATCTTATATCAGAGCAAAACTCCAAGACAGTAGTAAGTCTCTGAACTGCAGAGAGGGCTGGGGCAGGGCTTCAAGCGATTGCCCTGAGCTTTTCTCAATTATGCCGCCTCTCTCGAAGCACACGGCACCTGACGTGACACGAAGAGAAGCCAAAGAAGCCGCTGAAGCGGCGGCGAACAGGCAGAACCGGAGTTCGGATCGTCTTGCTACTCTAAAAGGATTCTAGCACCCCTAAACCCTAAACCCTAAACCCCAAACCCTAAACCCTACACCTCGACTCGACAGGTGCGACGGAACTGAACGACACAAAAAAGGCGGCTCCTTCGATTCCCTTACGGCCGCCTTGAGGGCTTCCTGACAACATTGGCACAGAAACGAGCATGCTAACGTAGGGGCCTTCATAATTACATATCATTACCTATACTATCTTGGGGGGCTCCTTGTTATAATGATAGTAGAAACCCTAAACCCTAAACCCTAAACCCCAAAAACCCCATTCGAATTTTTCGGGCCCCTATATTTCGGCTTCGCACTGGGAGGGCAACCCCCTCACTGCGAGCCAGATTCGCGCGAATCGTCCAGGTGCAGAGCAGGCTTGATAGGGTTTAGGGTTTAGGGTTTAGGGTATTCGTTTGTCTGGCGCTTTAGAAGAAATCAGCCGGTATGAGAACACCCGGCAAGCAGAGACGGAATTGAACGGGGAGGGGTGCGAGGAGTGCCAGAACTCTTAGTTGAAGGACTGGAAGCGTTCAGGAGGCCAGGACGGAGAGTGCCCGGTCGGTGCCCTCCACATGAGGCCCTAAACCCTAAACCCTAAACCCTAAACCCTAAACCCTCCACATGAGGGTCTTAAAGGGGAGGCCTTGAGAGGTGAGGATGCACATGGCTTGGTTGTTGATGGATCTCGAAGTACCATACGAGGCCCTAGTCTAATCCCGTGCTAAAAGGCTGGGAGGGGGGTTGCTTTTGATCAGAGGGTTGGGTGAGGGTCGTGATTGTTTCCCATGTCAGGCCAAATCGACAAGGCAGGAGGATGGCCTCCCCCGTGGCTTGCGCATACTCCGCAAGCTCGACAGTGGTGCCACAAAGAAGGAACTGCTCGTTGAGCCCTCGGTTCAGAGAGAGAAGCCAGTGTGCCCTTTTGCGGATGCACTCCATGACTCGCAGCTTAGGGGCGGATGTCCAGCTCGTCTGTGCAGAAATCCAGGCGGCCGGGAGAAGCCAGGGGGAGATCCTCCTGGTTTTCCAAGAGATGGAGTCGACAGATTTGGGACTTTCCGAAAATTTGGGTACCTTATTTAGGGTCCTTATAATAAGTATCCTATTATTGAGGGTACTATATTATAGGGTCCCCTATTTTCGGAAACCCCCATTTCAGGAAAGATCCCGCATGTGCCTCACCAGACCAGTTACGTCTGGAGAGGAGCTGAGTTTTCCGGGCAGTGTAGGCTGCCCAGGCATTGGAGTTCTGAATACGGAGCACCTGCAGACACAGCGCTGCAGCGATTGAACCCTAAACCCTAAACCCTAAACCCTACACCCTAAACCCTAAACCCTAAACCCTAAACAGCAGGCATGGGCTAGGTGCTACCAAGAATCCTGCTCGCAACGCGGGGGTCGGTGCCAGGTTCTGTCACTCAGAACTAAGGCGGCCTTAGGAGTGGCATGGACTCATGGAGTCGCGGACAGCCCTCCTCTGACTCTCGGGTGCCAGCCCTAAACCCTAAACCCTAAACCGGCCTCTACAATCTGCAACCGGGCCGCAACTTCGGCACCCTCGCCCTCTGAAGGGCTGAGTTCGATCAGCTCGCGGAAGGGCAATGTCGTACTCTGGCGCCAGCGTTTCGGGAAGCCTGTGAAGGTTTGGGCAGGACACGATTGAAACTTCCCAAGATGTGCAACTCCGGCCACTCACACTGGGATAGGTGTTGCCTCAAGTCAACCTCGGCAGTTGCAAATGCTAATGCAGCAAGCTGTTCCGGCCTTCTAGCACTTGCTTGGCTCTTGAGCCTGTGTGGGCCAGCTGTGGAGCGGGAACGATGGCCAAGTTGCTAAAGTCCTACAAGGCAAAGCCACAGGCTATCCAACAAAAAAATGAGCTCCCCCAACAGGACTTCCAGCTCTCCCCCAGCTCCTGAGCACCATGAGCACCGAAGCAGACCGTCGGAAGCTGCCTCCCCAACACAGCGAGCCGTGCAAACCCTAAACTCCTAAACCCTAAACCCTAAACCCCTAAACCCTAAACCCTAAACCCTAAACCCCTAAACCCTAAACCCTAAACCGTAAACGGAGCTTCGCCGCATTTCCCTCTGCTCTGGCCTCGGCCCCTCCTGGCTCGGGTGCACGCGGCCATCCCGGCCGTGGGCCGCGTGCTTCTTGGAGCGAAGAGAGCGCAGCCTCCTGAACCAAAGGGATCCCAGAGAATCCAATTTCCTTAATTAAGGAATATTCTTTAAAATATATTAAGGATCCTACTATAATTTAAGGAATATTCCTTGATTAAGGAATGTTGGAGTCTCTGGGATTGCGCAAAGATTGCACCCATGTCGCTAATGGGAGTTTCGGATGCCTGGCGATCTCCGACGGCGCCGCCAGAAGGCCTCAGCATTTTCATCGGGCTGGGGGCTGGTTGGAAACGTCCGTGCGCTAAGGCCCCGGACGCTTGAAGCAGGCATCACGACAGCGCTTCATTTGGGAAACGAGCCCATCGTCTCGCAAGAACACCCGCAAGCCTGCAGCAGCCAACGAGGCAATCAGGCTGCGCTGCCCATGGTTTATCTCTACTGCATTGCCCCAACACCAGACAATACCAGACAGAAGTATTTCACCTCCTGATAACACGATTAGCTTCGAACCCAGAAAGCGCCAAAACCTAAGAGAAGCAACTGAGACGCCAGGCATATGCACTGGCCCTGGCACGAAGCCAAGGCCAAAGGCAGGCAGACCACCATGAGGGTGAACACCGCCAGAACCTGCCCAAAACAGTCCGGTACATGGGTCCCTAAACCCTAAACCCTAAACCCAGCAGTTCCCGCGCGGAACTAGCAGACTTCTACACGGCTCCAAGGCGCCGTAGCTCGGAAGCGGGGATTTGCCGAGTGCTCCAAAGCCTGGCAGACAACCTCAAATCGGATGGAGGGCGGTAAAGCGAAAAGCAGAGAAAGATGGGCTGCTCTGTCCAGCCACACACGCAATCTGAACCCCAAGTCGCGGACGTGGTGAGAAGGGCACATAAATGGCATCGTCTCATTAAAAACTAACATCACCTTGGGGCAAAAGACAGCAAAAATGATGCGAAATATCCGGACTGATGCAGACTGATACGGGTTTAGGTCGAAGCAGGAGAGTCAGGGGCCGAGGCACCACACAGACGATGATGCCGCAGAAGCAGAGCACGGCCGTGATGGCACAGAGGCAGGTCAGCACGTCCAGGCAGTGCTGTCCACTGCTTTCCATCGGCAGAATAATCGGAAGGTCCGGCCTTGGACGCCAGTTTAGGGTTTAGGGTTTAGGGTTCCACTCTACCATTGCAGTCGCGGGGCCCATCCTCTTGCGACATCGTCTGCATGAACCGTGGCATGGCCTGGTGAAGGGGAGAAGCCACCAGCACCTCTCCTCTTTGCCATGCCCCTGCCTGGAGCAGCTTGCCCTGTGAAGCGGCCGGTGCGATACACGACACGTCACCTGAGGCAAATGCCCGAGGCTCGTGCTGGATGCGCATCGTCAGCGCAGGGCACCGTGCGGAAGTCAAGCCCCGAAGAATCAAAACCTGCCCCCACCTTTGAACTTTAAACAAGGGCGCCAAATTCTGCATGTGCCTTCTTGAGAATCGCTCAGGACCTAAACTGCTGAGCCCCAAAACCCTAAAACCCTAAACCCCTACAACACTAAAACCCTAAAACCCTAAACCCTAGAACCCCAAACCCTAAAACCTGTCTATTTTCCGACCGGGTGCCCCCGAGGTCGCCCTGTCGGACTCGACCGGCGATCTGCGGCAACGGCAGAGGCTCATCAGGCGCTTCCGACCAAGCCTCAAATTGGGGAGGCAGTACAAGGTTTAGGGTTTGGGGTTTAGGGTTTGAGTGTCATCATCATCAGCAGCGTCGTCATCACTACCCTCCTCAGCCTCATCATCATCATCGACACCATTACCATCACCATCACAATCATCGTGGTTGGAATCGTTCGCTTCATAGCGCTTACTGCTGCTGCTAGTGGTGCACTAGTGGCAGCAGTTGCAGTGTGTAGCAGCAGTAGTCAGTAGCAGCAGTGTCAGTACTAGCAGGAGTAGCAGAAGTAGCGGTAGCAGCAGTCGTAGCAGCAACGGCAAAAGTAATTGCAGTAGTTGTTGTTGTCGTCGTTAGTAGCGGCAGTGGCTGTGGCACTGGGAACGGTGGTGGTAATAGTACAAGTAATGGTAGCAGTAGTAGACCTACTAGCAGTAGTACTAGTAGTCGTCGCCGTCGTAGTAGTAGTAGTCGTCGTAGTAGTCGTAGTAGTCGTCGTAGTAGTCGTAGTGGTAGTAGTAGTCGTCGTAGTAGTCGTAGTAGTAGTAGTAGTAGTAGTAGTAGCAGCAATAGTAGTAGTAGCAGTAGTAGCAGTAGTAGCAGTAGTAGCATTAGTAGCATTAGTAGCAGTAGTAGTAGT